CCTTTAATTTAAAGTACTTATTTATTATGTGTAACTAAAATTTACAATTATGCATAATCATGCGAGTCAAATATGCGTTTATGTGAGTCATTTTCGGAACTCTAGTATTTTTATTACTTAATATTTTTTTAAATTCATTATTAAAGTTAGTGTAGCTAGTATTTATTTTATCTAAAACAATTTTTTTATGATTAAAATAAATAGAGTATAAAAAAAGAAAAGAATTTACATTGAATTCAAATAAATTTTTATGATTTTAATATTTTATATCATGAATTATATTAAAAACTAATTATGTAATAAATTATATAATATATAAATATAAGACATTAAATTCTATTTGATCATCATTTAACCTTGTGATAATCGGAAACAATTAATGTTCAATAAATATTAATATTTTATTTTTCATACCTTTCTTCTTTATCTTCACAGTATGTCATCTAATATTTTATTAAATAAATTAGTCAAAAATTATGAAACGTTGTTACAAAATTCAGTCAAGAATTATGATATGATTATTAAATGTGGAGAGAAGTCAATTAATAAGACACTGTATGCGCATTCATTAATATTATCATCACAATCAACTTACTTTCAAGCCGCATTATCAAGTAATTGGATTAAAAAAGAAGATGGTAAAATTCTTTTTGAAAAGGAAAATGTAGCTCCTAAAATTTTTAGTATTATTCTCAAGTAAGCATTTTGTATACATTTATAATATAAATTTAAGACAAATAATTGCTAAATAATAATTCATCTCATTTAGACACTTGTATTGCGGTGAAGTGACACTCGATGAATTAAATTTATTAGAATTATTAGAATTAATATCAGCTGCTGATGAATTTATATTGTCCGAATTAATGAAATTTACTGAAACATTACTGATTTCTCTTGCAGATACTTGGATGAAAACAAATTTTATCAAAATTCATTTACATGCCCATACAATTACAGGATGTATAGCTCTTCAAGAGTTTTGTACAAAGAAAATTTGTGAAGATCCTGACTTGATATTTTTGCCAAAGGATTATGGTAATTTAAATGAAGAAGTGTTAATTAAATTATTGAAAAGAGACGATTTAGAAATGAAAGAAATCGAATTATGGAAATATATTATTAAGTGGGGAATTCATAAGAGTTCAAGTAATTTTGATAATGATTCAAATTTAAATGAAACTGATGTTAGTGAATGGAATGAAAACAATTTTAAAGATTTGTGGGAAGTTTTAAAGAATGTCATTGATTTCGTTAGATTTTGTAATATCTCGGTCGAAGAGTTTGAAAAAGAGGTCCAACCATATTCAGAAATGTTTCCAAGAAAAGTTTATGAAAATATCATTTGGAGCTTTGTTAAACCACAGGAATCTAAAATGATTATAAGAGGAAATAGGGTACGAAAACAAGGTTCTAATTTATCTACAAAAAAATCTGCTTTTCCTGTTCATATTGGTGGCTTTCCTCCTTCTAGTATTGGATTTAATGGTTTTGGAGCATCATCAACTACTCAGCCTCCGGTATATGGAATGTTAACTACTCAGCCTGCGGTATATGAAATGTTAACTACTCAGCAGCCTGGTTTTGCTGGACTTGGTAGACGTAATTAAACAATCAAAATTTTTTATTAACTCAGTCGAACTATAATAGATAAATCACTTTTTTTTTGATTATGTATTACAATAAAATTTATATAAAAAGTGATTTGTAACAACTTTATCTTAATATCATTTATGAATTTAAATAAGCAGCGCTTCATCATCATGTTCCCAACATAACATAATACTGTACATGATTCCTACTTTCGCCTTTGATGCTAACAGTCTTGGAAAAAACTCTGTGATTTGTGAAGGGGATGCTTCATTATATTGTTTCGTAAACAGATTCCAAAGAATTAATAACATGGGAGCTCCATATTGCTCCCCTAATCATGTCCTTTAAAGGACTAGCTCTTGCACAACAGCACTCGGTGAATGACAGATCTTTATGATGTATGTCTCAAGAGAGAGGATTGATTAAAGTATGTGATTCTTTCTGTTGGCGTTTCCGGGTATCCGGTAAGATGATTATTTGAATGTGCATGTGGTGGAAAAAAAAATTATGAAATACTTTGAAAAAGGCAATTTTAACAAGTGACGAATTTTATGATGTTCATGCTATAAACTCGAATTTCGAAATGATTAAAATAATCAGCACCTTAACATAAAGATTTAATTTTTAATATCCATTTTATGCGTTAACAATAACTGAATATCATTTGCGCGTTCATCTGAAAAAAAAAAGTAAGTATTTGCATATTATGGCATCCACGAGAAGGGTAAATTCACATAATGTAATGTTTTCGTTGTTACTAATCTTTCCGAGTTTTTTTTTTTTTTTTTTTTTTTTTTTTTTTTTTTAACAAAAAAAAACCCAACTATTAATAAATCTGATTATTAATTAATTAACAAAACGATAATTTGTTTTAGCTTTTTAAAAATAAATTTATTAAATCCAAGAAAATTTACATTATCTATTTGTTTTTGTCTTATTCACTATAGAAATTAATTTTTTGCAATAATGATCTTAATTTAACTTTTTTTTTTTTAAAAAAAAATTACATTGAATCACTGAAATCAATGAGTGCAATTAATCAATAAGTTCAAAACACCACTATTTAGAAATATGTTGTTAGTAAATAATTCTTTCGAAGGGTGAAACTTTTATTATGGTTAGATATGTAATTAGTTACCTTATCATTCTCGGTATGCTCTCCACCATGAGCAAAGACTTCCTGCAATTTGTCATTATCGATAGTAAATGTAACATCGTGGCTACCCAAGGTTTCTTCCTTGTGCTTATTAGACGTAAAATCTTGAAATGTGTTTCTAAGAATCACGACATCGCGTGTTTTCAAATATTCCCCATTCTCTGAATTATCATGTTCAAGAATCCATGTGTAATCACTATAATTATCGTTACTGCCGCAGCTCACTGTATAAAGAAAAAGACATTCCGATAAATATAAAAATCGTTGCAAGAGTGAAAAAGTAAAATCTGATCTGATTACCCTCAGTTAAACCAGAGACAGGAGATTTACTATCACGCTTAGTATGAATATCAAGGTAGGCGTTGGAATTTTGGTGTTGCAAAAAGACCGTGCTATGATAAGTTAACAACTCGGCACTATCTAAACTTCTAATCAGCCAAACAGCGTTTGAATCCTGTAAAGATTGTCCACAGAATACCTAAAAAGAGATTCAATTTGTTTATATTTTTTTTTTAACACAATTAGTATTGAAAAATGAATGTAAAAAAAAATCTTTTTCAAACCATTTGACTTTTTGAACCTGTCAGATAAGACTTGTTCCAACTGGAAAGGTACCTTCCAGTAGCCACATGTTTTATGGCCACGGCCGAACCATTCCGAATGAAATTAGAATATTCAATTAAAGTATTTTCGAAACAAATCATTAGATCATTCATAGAATTAATCGTGCTATAATTTTTAATAAATTCATTTCTAAAAAAGTCATTTGGAAGTGTACGATACAAGGAACTTTTTTGTTTTTCAATGTCATTAATCTCGGCATTACGACAGAGTTTACGAAAATTCGAAATGAACAGTGCCGTATCACCTTCATCACGTTCAACCTTATATCTTAATAAATGTAATTTCCTCTTGCAAGAATTTTTAAAAATCGAAAAGGTAATATGTTCTTTCAATGCGTTAACTAGACCTTCACAAGAATCAATATCTTGTGAAATCTTTATAGTTGAATCGATCATCAATTTACTAAATTTAAGAATTTCAGGTTCGTCCGTAATTTGTTTAAATCCACAATATGTTATCATTTCTTTAACGTATTCTTCCGGATGAGAATTTCCATTATACCTTGGACAATCCATCATTAAAGTTTTGAGAGTATTTCAAAGTGGAAAGAAAGTAGTAAATCATATTTATATATTTTTTTTTTTTTTATTCGATCTACGATAATTGATCTAACAATGTATTCATATCCGTTGTATCAATTTCTTTTTTAGGTCATTATTAAGTCTTGGCGTAAAATCCCATTATAATAGCCATTTTGTTCAGGGGGAAAGCGCTGATCCATGTAAATATCGGCGGGGGCCCGATATAGAAATTCGATTTCGTCTTTTAAATATGAATATTTCAAAAATTCTCATTTGGAAGAGATAATTTCCCTTGTTCATTTTTTTCATAAAACGATTTAATTTTCGTTTAGTAAGATTTATTAAGAATTTGAATGATCATTTTCTCAAAATATTGTCTATCATATTATTTATCCTTATTAAGAAAGCGACAAAAATTTTTTAATGTAATAAATTGCTATAATAATACAAAGTTGAACAGCTTTTTAATTCAATATGGTTGGAAAAATCCTAATGCGGAAAAAGCCTAAATATTGAACCCTTCAAATTTTGAAATTCTTTCTAGAAATCTAGAAATATAAAACAGAAAGATCAATTGAAAATTCTACATCCATTTCTAGAATGCTAACAGTATGTACCGTACCGTATCTACCTTTGTAGCTAAACAAATCCATATTTTATCGTATCAAAATCCACAGAAGTATTTTCGAATAAAAAACAATCATCGGCTCCAACTTTTAGAGCACTTTTAAATCCTCCAGTCTCATCTTCAAATTCCATCAAAAAGGGCATCACCATTTTCTTTGATTGCTCTTTATTCTTTGATGCGGCAACCTACAAAAAAAAAATAAAGATAAAAATAAAATAAAATGAAATGAAATTTAACCTTGAATTGATTGATATGCGTGAGGTACCTTTCTATTCAAATCGTTAATCTGATCGGTGCGATAAGGAATAAAAACAATGATGTCGTTCTCTGCAATTTGATCTTTTATAACGTTTTGTTTTGTGTCTGTTTTACGAATTGATTTATAAGATGTACTCGAATATGAACGTTTTCCAGTTTTTCGCACTGATTGTAATTTTCTTACCATAATTCAATATTTTTTTTTTTCCCTTGAAGCCCAGGCAAAAATTATTTTATAGATCGGCGTTACCTTTTTTTTTGATGTATCACACAGTAAATCATGGAATCACCTAAAATTTTTTATCAATCCAGATGAATGAAGGAAACAACTTGATTCACAATGCTATCTCAAACAATTGACATTGCAAAATTATTGGTAGATTCATCAACGACGTTGGAGTAGTAATACTGTTGATGATTTAATTAACGTTTTTAAAGATAATATTTTATTTCTATTGAATCAAACAAACAAATACTTCATAATAATCGTAATTATGATGAGAATTCTGCATGTACCATAGAATTTCTTGTTAATATCAACGAACAAAAAAAAACTACTTTGATGAGGAAGGAAGAAAATATTACATGAAAAAATTAAAGATATGAATACACTTTTGAGTTATTAGACGTATTGTTACTGGGATGTATCTTTCATCCATTTGTTCAATCAGGTATATTAATTATACACATATCTAATTTTATAACCTGATTCGAGTAAATGAGAAATTTGTTCTTTATGGATATAAAATTTAATTATGTAATAAAAGAACAAGTCATTATTTAACATCCGGTAACAAGACATCAAGGAGGCAATTAACTTTTTAAATTTTGATTAATGTTTTCTTCATTTTCACCAAATAATTTGAAAAAATCTTTTGTGTCAAAACATTATTTTTTTGAACGAGTTCATACTCGTCATAGAAAAAGATTTAGTAGTAAGTTTGGGTTACTTTTTTATTTGTTTAATGATTAAAAAAGGTATGGTTTATAATCATTTAACAATGATTCGAACGAATCAAACTAAAATCGATACTAAATCCGTTAACTAAATAAAGTCTGATTGATAAATAAACAACGATTATTTCTTTGTGATCTTTTCATAAAATTTATTTGTTTTTCAGATGATTTTAATGTAATCTTCGCGAATTAAAATTTACAGCGCCACAAATTTTATAAAAAATTCATCACGTGAGCGCAATTTCACAATGGGCGCCATTTTTTTCAGTTTCAACATGCATAATTTAGGGTTCTCTTAACTATAAAGGCTCTTTTTGTAATATATAATATGTGTTACCATTGTTAAAACTGGATTAAAAATTTCTTTTTTCCTTATTTTTTCTTAAAAAAAAGATTCTCGTGAAAAAAGAATTTTTTTTTTTTGCAGCCTGTATGTATGTACTATGTAACTGTAATTTGCAGAGATTTTCGTGGACTTTGTGTTTTCACGTTAATCCTTTTTTTTTTCTTTTTTGTTTTGTGATTTTCAAAATAATTCATTTTTTTGCATTTACGCAAATAATGCAGACGTTTCAAAGGCGATGAATCGAATGCAATCCAATGCTATCAACAGGTGATAAATTCCATTGTTTTCTGTAAGAGCTCATTAATTTTCATGCTCGCGCAAAAAAAAAAAAAAAAAAAAAAAAAAAGTTGCTGCGGTGAAATGTGGTGTGTAGATCTGTTTCATTATGAAAAATGTACAAATCAAGAAAGCTGTAATGAAAATCAATTTGGGAAATTTCCGCAATAATTTATATGCCAAGATTTACTTGATTTGGATGAAAATCTTTATTTCAAAAGAACAATGCCCGAGAAAAAAATTTTTTTTTCTTTTTTTTTTTCTTTTTTTTTTTTTGATGTGCGTTTATTTATGTGATGCGGTACCATGTTATATTTTACATCTTTTTTAATAAAAATAATTATTTTTTACATGATGATCAACTGTGTTAGACAGATGACAGCATTGCATGACCTTTCTATCAAGATTAGCCAACACGAAAGCGACACTTGTATCTATTGGTCTTTTATGGTAAGGGAGAAAAATAATTGTAAAAGATCCTCTCATAAAAAAAAAAAACATTTACACTATAATTAGCCTAAGACCCTTTTCGAAATCTTGTCAAAACCTGTTTCAAAGAGAGAGCGCCCATTACATATGAATTTCTAAATTAGTGGTGATTTTCACATGAACATATTTATATTTAGTTTTCGTTTTTTTTAAAAATAATAATATCTCGTAAATTGTGGATTGTTTTTTGAAGGGTCAATAAGAAAATGTTAAACGTTCCCGGGTGAAAATTACCCTATATAAATCTTGATCTTATCTTCGCGTCCCTTTTTTTTTTTATAAAAAAAAAAATATTCATCTTAAAAAAGGGAGAATTTCCCTTATTTGTTTTACAACTGTGTAAATTTTTTTGAGAGTTTGTGAAATAAACATTTCACTCATCATCATTTAATTTATATTAATATATATATATTATTTTTGTATATATATTGTCTGTATCATCATTTTATTTTTTACTTTCACCTAAAAAAAATTCCAAAAAAAAAAAAATCACTTTTTATTTAATTTAATAAATAATAAAAAATGGGTAACGAATTTTCTCAACACCACGAAAACGTTGATATAACGGCGAGCACGCATAACTCGACGAGTTGTAGTTTAACAACGGCACCCTTGGTGTCATTGTACGAACAATCGAGAATTCAACATTCAAACAATAACAACAATAATAATTCATCGACCATCAATGAAAATGTAGATATTTGCTTCATTTGTTCGGATCCAATAGAGATTTATTCGCTATCTCAATGTAATCATCGAACTTGTCATTTATGTACATTACGAACAAGAGCTTTACTTGAATCAGACAAGTGCGCATATTGTAGGGTAAGCATCCGTGAAAGATTCTAACGGTTACAATCACTCTTGCGAACAAATCTTTAATACAACCTTAATTTTTACCCTACAGACTCAACAAGACGAGGTTTTGTTTACACGGGATTCAAAGAGATCATTCCAAGAATTAAAATCCTCATCAATCAGATGGATAACAATCTCCGATATTAACATTCTATGCGAAAATACATCGATTTATCATTCAACATCTCGAATGATGGAATTTCAGTGCCCGTCCAAGAATTGCAACATCATATGTAATGACTGGCATGACTTGGTATATCACGTACGGATCGCTCATAATAAAATGTTTTGGTAAGTTTCTTCTTTTTACCTTTTTTTAAATTTTATTTTTTTTTAAAAAAAAAGGTAATCTTTGCTAACTTATTGTTTTTAATAAATTTTTTTTAGCAACATGTGTATAGTAAATCGAAAGATATTTTCATTTGAACATCAATTATACACACGAGAGGAACTCATAAATCATTATAATGGCAACAACACGACAAATTCGACGGCAGGCTCATACTTTAAAGGACATCCTTCTTGCACGGAATGTAATATTCACTTTTTCGATTCAACAGAATTGTACGACCATTATGTAATTCATCATCAATTCGTTCCAAACTCTAATTTATTACGCCAATCACACGCGACCTCGCATAATGTTCAACAACATATATTAACAAACGCAACAACAAACACCACAACACATGAACATGTTGATCGACATTTAATAGAAGCAAGTGATATTGACATACCGCTGTTGATAATATTTGTGATATCAGGATTGGTCAGCGTTATTGGAAACATAACGGTCCCTGGGTGCCATGATTTCGAAAGATTCTTCCATTCGCTCGAAAATCTTTTTGTGACGTTAATGAATCATGACGACGTGAATAACGATCAAAGTTTTGAAATAATATTGAGGAATATGGCGAGTTCATTGTATATGGTTGGGGGAAGATGCGTAATGTTGGTTATGTATTTAATGATAATATTTTGGGTGTTGAAGGGGTGGTTCTTTATAATGAGTTGGGTACTTTATGGGATGTGTTTAATGATGTTTGGAAAAATTTGTTGGGAAAATTTATCAAGGTCTTTAATTTCTAGAAATTAAAAAATCCTTTGCATTAAAATCATTATAATTTATTTATTTGTATACAAACTTTATTTTTTTTCTTTTTATTGTTATATATTAATTTGCAATTTTTTTTTTCTTCATCTTGTTCAAAAATCATCATCATGTTTTTAGCATCATAAAAAAATTATATATAAATATTTTTTATTTACTATTATTGTTGTTTCTTGGATTATTAACAAAAAAAAAGAGGACTCAACTATTTATCATCACATTCTGAAAAATAAAAAGGCAATTCTTTAATTGACTAGCCATAATACTATTGATTAGTATTCGCTAGCATTTAATTTGTTTCATCATAAAAAAAAAAAAAAAAAAAAAAAAAAAAAACACTTCGTTGACTGATTTACGAGTGAATTCCTATTTTTATTATTTGTGTAATTTGTTCATAAACGTCAATAATGTTAATTACAATTTCCCATTGTGATAAAAAAAGATTATCTACGCATCGTGGACGTAGCGTAGCAATTTTTTTTATAAAAAAAATTCCCGCGTTAAAATTTGAGTGATACCCGGTTAATCTTGAGATGGCAACTGATCCGAGTAAATTTTTTTTTTTTTTTTTTTTAAGATTCTTCAGCATGAAAGAGATAATCGAAAATTCTCCTGTTTCCATTTTTGCCATTTTTGTAAGACGGAGAAAAAAATTTTTTCTATTTTTTAATGGAACGTTTAGATGGATTAGACTTAATCATACTTTTTTTTTTTTTTATGCAACTCATATCTTTAAAGCGTAAAAATTAGTTAGATGTTTATTAATTAATAAGCCCTCGGACATTTCAACCGGTTTTCCAACACCCGAGAACAATATGTAAAATTAAATCTACTATATAAAATTATTAATTTACAAAAAAAAAAATAAAAATAAAAATAAAAATAAAAATAAAAAAAAAATAAAATAAAATATACACGGTGCATAACAAAAAAAAAAATTTATTTTATCGAGAAAAAAAAAAAAAAAGAATTATCCATCAAATAACCTTTGAAACAACAATCCTTATTCCCTTAAAAGAATACCTGACGACGAGCAGGTCTCAGAGAAATACGTTTTCCTCTAGAATTTCTTCTAACCTCTGTATCCGGTTCATTATGATCATTATCATTATTATTATTATACGATGGCATGCTGACCCAATTCAACTCGGATGCTCGTTTCCTCGCAATTAATAACGAGACCACGTGTAACCCTACATTTATCCATCCAAATGACAAGCTTGCTATAAGCGTGTTACATTGCAATTCTGCCAATTCTGCCAATTTTTCTATGGAGGAATTCATATAGCCTGTACGAATTAAATCACATCTTAAGCCCGGTCCTGAATACCACGGATCAAAATTTGCCACTCCTAAAAGAAATTCAAAAGGAATGAAAATTGGTATCAAAACTTTTTTTTTTTTTTGAGAAATTTGATTTTTTTTTTACCTGATGAAAACCATAATGCAAAAAGGAATCTGAGAAAAAAGATATAAATTTAATTAATAGGAAAAAAAAAAAAGCTGTTACAGAATAATCAATAAATAAAATCATGATACAAACAATTCCGATAAAACAAGTCTTAAAGCATGATCCCATAACCATCTTCTCTTTGTTATATAAACACCTACAGAAAAAAAAATTTGATTTTATCATTAGAGCAAAATTAAATAAAATGAAATAATGAAATAATGAAATAGAAAAAAAAAAATTCAACACTTTACCGGTTCCAATTAATGATACCACGATTACAATCAAGTACCATATTTTAACTTGTCCATTATATCTACAATTAAAGAATATTTATTAATTTTGAAGTTCCCCTTGTTTCATTTCCTCCTTTTCTTTGTTTAAAGATACTAACGTTATTGATTGATCGGATTGTAAGGTTTGTTTTTCAAAATACATTGACTTTGTGATTTGAATTTGCGGGTATAATCTAGACTCATTTAAAGCATCAACATAATTAGACCAAGTAGAAAATGATACTATTTCTATAAATGTATGTAGATATACCAAAATTATATATATATTTCTTTTGAAAAGTTACAGAAAAAGAATTAACAATAAACACTTGCCTAATATAAGTACTATTATACAAACTATTATTTGTGATATTTTAATGCTAAAAAACAATAATGGATGCTTACTGACTTTCATTATTAATAATATCCTTCCCTATTTCTTTTTTTTTTCTCCTTTTTTTTTAAAAAAAAAAAAAAAAGAAAATGAATATATTATGTGTTGATTTAATAAATATAATATAATATATTTATATACATTAAGTTATTTTTATTTTTTGTTCTTTATATATGATTGACTTGTACAAATTCGGAAAAATAAAAATTCGTAACAAGTTACTTTATTTCTAAATTCGTTATAATAATTCACGTTAACAAGTAAGGCATTAAAGATAAATCAACAGCTTAATTACTCTAATTACTAAATAAAGGAATGCGTTTTTCGTAGAAATTTTATTCGTTAAAAAAAAGGCACGATGTGTGAATAAAAAAAAAAAGGGAGAAATTAGGTCTTTACTCTTTCTTACGAAAAAAAAAAAAAAAAGCTCTCCAGCACGAGCGACACATCTAACGGATGGGCGGAAAAAAGGTACGGACGAAAAAAAAAAAAAAAAAAAAATTTAGAATTTTATTTCATCTTTATATTTGAGGAACCTCTCGGTATTACAACACAACACACAAACTATCCTGTGCATTACATTATGCGTCTGGTATTATGCAGATCCAAAATGAGGTATTTTGGTAAATGCAGACCCTTTTAACAAATGCTAACGAATGGCAGGCTTTGCTCCCTTAATTTTTCAAAAAGTGGAATTCCGCGTTTCAACCGAAAGAATTCTTAAATTGCGTTAGCATCATGGGAATTTCTGACTTTTTAAAAATAGAAATAGGGAACCTTTATCGAGGTCATATCTGTGAAATCACTGCGTGATAAACATCACGTGCTACATACGCATTCGCTTATCGTTTATCATAATTCGCGCTTCTTTGAATCATTGACAGGAATTTTTTTACCCGTCAACGAAAAACTCATCATGATTTTTTTGTTTAAATTTATTTGTTAAACAAATTCGTACATATTAATTAATGAAATTAAGAAATTAATAAATTCAAAATCTGTTCCTGCCAGTTTGATTTATATTGTGTATGAGAATGAAGAACAATGAAGAAATAAAAAGTAAATTTACAATTATTGGTTAGGTGTTTAGATACAATTAAAGGGTGTGTCGTGAAAAGTGATTATATTACGTGATTAATATGGTTGTCATTAAAAAGGACATTTCAAAATTCTCTAGTCTCAAGTCATGTTTCAAACACATTTGAGACAAAAAAGATTTTTTTTTTTTTCATCAAGAATAATTAAAGAATGTGTGTAAAATTTCATTTCTTAACACAAGATTTGTAGATCAAAACTTGTTCAGGTTCATTAATTTGAACGATCGTATTAGGACGTGGTTTATATTTATAAACCACTTCACCCAAAGCTTCAACTCTTCTTTCACCTTCATAAAGTTCCTGTCTTTGTTTCCAAAATTTCGATGCTACCAAAGTTGACAAAAAGAAAAGAAAAGCGTTGATCCAACCAATTGTTATGCTCGTCACATTAATCTGACACTCGCGGCGGGCTCTAACGTCATTAACAGCCGAACAATTATACCTGTAACCTTGAAATGATGGATAGATGTTTGCGATCCCAGAAATAAACCATAATATCGTGAAAAACGTTTTGACGGAGATGTCACGTTTTAATGGACCTTTATGTTTTCTCATTAAATAAAAACACCCATCTACTATAGTTAAAGATATAACAATGTAATACAATATCTTTACTCCATTAAAATAAACTTCATCAACACCTTCCTTATTTGATTTTGTTCTGGGAAATAAATAAATAAATAAATAAATCAATCATTTAAAAAAATTGCCACCAGTCACGCAAGGTCATCTTGCAAAGACTTACATTTTACCGTTGAAATAAGCTGAAAGGTCGTAGCCTTGTTCGGCATAGAAATCGGAAAATGATGAGTACTCAACGATTTCTATTTTATTCAGATAAATTACTTTATTAGCTTAACCTTGCGGGAATTTTTTTTTTTTTTTTTTTTACTTGAATTTCTTCACTCACCTAGCAATAAGCAAAGGAAAACTAAGAATATTTGAATGACTCTCAAAGCTTTAAAAGTGTCACTTGCATTCATATTTAATGATTTTATTGAAGAGGTCGTCAAGATTAATGATTTCGTTTATTTAATGGAGAATTCGGAAAATAAATGGTTCATGTAAAAATGTGAGGGAGAGAACCTTTTTTTTTTTTTTTTTTAATAAAGATACTCTTTTTAAAGAAAAACAAAAAAAAAGGAATTGTGGAATTAAAAGAAGGAAAAGGCCAATCAAACACTCCGTAAAGCCCGCAAGATTGTAAAGGGAAATGTTTTTCAAAATAATCCAATTTCCATCATTTTAAATAAACAAAATCAATTGAAAATTTCCCTCCAAAACTTCCAAATCTTTTAAAATGAAATCTTTTTTAAGGCTGAATTTGGTTACCATTTAATACTAATTCAAAAAAAAAACTATTTCCGATCAACGATTAAGCCATTTCAGTATCATAAAATCATCAAATCGTAATCCATGTGTTCACCATTTATGGTGCATAAACAAAATACTTATTTTAATCTGAGAAATGAAAGAATTTTTGGTTCATTTTTCATTCTATTTTCATATGCGTGTTTGATATTTATTTGCAAAAAACAATTATTTAAATTTCTTAATAAAAATTAGGACCAATCAGTTCAACGCTTGACTAAATTTGGCATAGCAGTTAAAATCATTAAATTTAAATTGCATGACATGAACCAAAACTCAAAATTAAGTGGAAAATCTAAAAAAAAAAAAAAAACTTGGAGAATTCGAAATGCGTCTCAATCTCCAATAAGATATGGCAAAATTAATATTATCAAACAATGATGCAAGGCTTTAAAACTTGTTCCCCGAGTATAGTTAGAAATTAGTTAGTTATTAAAAAGAAATATTAACTCCCTCCCCATTTTCCGATGACGATTTAATATTGTTAGCGACATCGATTCATGATGTTGTCATTGATGTGGCACAGTATTAATGACTTTTGTCGTTGATGCTTCTAATATGAGAAAGCGAGTATTAACCTGAATTACCATGACATTATGTAAAAATTTGGTTATTAATGGTAGTCGAAGAAGTTCAAAATTCATTTAACCGCGGTATTAAAATGATTGAATACTTTAACAAATTTGTCGTTTTGTAATTGCGTTTTTATAAATGTTTCATAAAAGTGATAATGGATTCATAACTTATCGAAAAGGAGTTAATTCAATGATCAATTAACTGGTTTTTAATTATCTTGAATGTTCATTGTTCTTTATTTATTTTTTAAAGATTCGTTGAGTGACACAAAGCAAAACATCTCTCTTATTCCTTTTATGAATGTTGTGCATTGTCATTGTCATCGTATTAAAAGAAGGAATATTCTCCTGAGGGTAATGTTTTTTAATGCGCACGGACTTGAATTTGTATAAATTCCATCACCCTCTTCTATCTTCGGGTTTATGAGACTTTTTGAGATATGTAAAGCCTTAAAAATAAAAATGATTGCCCCAAAAGCTATTCCTTTACGCCCGTTTTTTTAATTACCATTTGACAATCAAACACGTTAATAAACGGGAATCCCTTGTTATGTCGATCAATACTACATAAAGAGCTTTGCTGCAATAACGCCCCATCAGGAACATTTTTTTTTTTCTCGTTGTGATAAAAGAACAACCACCAAAGAGTATAAATAGAATGAATCTATCATGGATGGAAATCGTTATTTGTTATTATAATCCGCAGTAAAAATTGAAATGCTTTCATCAAGCTAATTAGCATTATTCCTTACAAGAAAAAAAAAAAGAAAAAACTCAAAAATAAATAATTAAAAACATGGTTGAATCATCATCAATTCCACATCAAAACTCTAGTCCTATTCCAATTCAAAATGGGACCACCTCTCATGAAAGTATGGAAAATCATCATGAGGGCTTATTTGTGGATTTATCAGGAAAAACGCTGGCTTTAATTCGAGCTGATAAAGAAGATCCAAATGAATCGGATGATGATGAAAAAGACAAAGTGGAAATTCCAGAAAGGCAAAAAAATATGTTTCATAGTGTTTTAAATGTTCTTGGTGAAAATCGATCAACTCCACGTTCAACACGTTTAAATATAACGCGTAAGAGACATTATGTTCGTCGTCTACGGGACAGCGTTAATAATCCTTTTGAATGTGGTCTAAATGAACATCAATTAGCTGCACCATATGTTGAAGAACAATTACCTGACCAACCAGAGTATTTGCAACGTAACTCAATTGAAAGTAATGCACCTTTATTAAATGAAGGAGAACAGAGCGAAGGTATAACAAATGGTATTTTACTTTTAAAAATGAGATGCTGAGGGAAGGTTTTTTTTTTTTTTTATTTTTTTTTTAAACCATTCTTTCTAAATTTTTAAATTCTATATATTATGAAGGTTCAAATGTAACGATTAGTCTTAGAGGTCGTGTAAAGAAAGCTCTTGCGGCGCATGAATTTCAACAAATGGCTGCGAATCCTGACAATACACGTCTTGAGAATGCTGGAGACTTTCCGTCTATAATGTTACCAATTGCAATTTCCATTCCATATTTATGGGCTCGTAGGGATCATGAAGGTCGTAAAGCGGTATTGTAAATTTCCTCAATAAATAAGCTGTCATGATTTATAATATAATATCATATATTAATTATTACATCTTATTGTCGATTCAGCCTCCCATCATATTTGAAGCTTTAAAGGTTTGATTCATTTTATTTAAAGTGTCTCTCAATGAATAAAACTAACGAATTGTTATTAATGTTGCAATAGCTTGCCATCACTGATTCTCGTGCTGATGAACATATGTATAATTTACAAACCCTTTATCGAATTGAATTGGAATATGGTGATGTCAAATGGGTTATACAAAGAACCGCATTTGACTTTTCATTCCTTGATTTTAGTTTGAGAAGGAAGAATGATTTACCCGAGATTCCGACCTTACCGACCAATATAACATCTTGGGTCGGAACATTATTTCATAGAACTGCAACAAGGCACGCAAAACAACAAGAATTAGCTCTTGAAAGAAGAAAAAAATTACAATCATATCTTATTCAATTAATAAAGGCATTGAATCGAAATGTTTCTTATACTCTTAATGAATTCTTGGAACTTAGTGCGATTTCCATTACGAGAGATATGGGAATGAAGGGTAAAGAAGGTTATGTAGAAAATAAAGTTGACAAATTTGATAAGAATCAATTTTGTTTTTGGAGAAAAAGTTCTAATGAGACTTGGGAAAGAGAATGGGTGATTGTTCGCGACTCGTATCCTTTTTTTTAAAAAAATTTTTTTTTTTGGACTTTGCTTCTTCATATTAGTTTATGCATCCTTGATGATAGAAAAAAAAATTTATTTTTATAGTTACATTGCATTTTGTACTCATATCAGTTCAACAACACCAGCGGACGTATTCTTGCTAGATAAATACTTCAAATGTACTAAATTGGAAACGCACGGATTAAACAAAGTTTTGTCCCGTCACGATACTATTTTTATATCAAATAGTTCACGTAAGATTGAACTTAGGAGTGAATCTCGTACTTTAAATGAAATCACTGAAAGTATTGATAGGGTTAAAGGGTCTTCTCCTTGGGTAAAACAACATCGTTTCGATTCTTATGCTCCTAAGAGGGATCATGCAAAGGTCAAGTGGTATGTTGATGGCAAAGATTATTTCCTTGCTGTTTCGCAAGCGATTTTGACTGCAAAATCTGAAATTTATATTGAAGATTGGTGGTTATCTCCTGAATTGGTGAGTGTATAGATAAAATAAAGTGTTACTTTTCAATTTATATCTGATGATCTTAGTTTGCTTTGTATAGTACCTTCGTAGACCTCCTCATGAAAACGAAGAGTTTCGTTTAGATAGATTGCTTAAAAAGAAAGCTGAAGAAGGTGTTATGATTTATATTGTCGTCTACAAAGAGGTGAAATTGGCTTTAACTTTGGACTCTAATCATACGAAACAAACTTTGCAATCACTTCATCCAAATATCAAAGGTTATTTATTGTTCAAGCATTTATACTTGGATTGGTTTGTAAGGAATATTTATTGAAATAATGTTTCGTCGATTCTAGTTCAAAGACATCCCGATCATGGACCCGATGGTGTAATGTTTTGGGCGGTAAGTTGATAATAAAATGATTTAGGTCTAAACGTACGACGATTTATTAATTAATTTTTCTTTAAATAATTTCCTTCTTCGTAATTTTAGCATCACGAGGTAATATTAAATACATTTTCTTTAAAATGACAAGAATGACGATTTATTTTAAATTTTTTTTTTATCTAAATTGCCTTGATTAATTATTTAGAAAATGGTCGTAGTTGATAGTGAAATAGCATTTATTGGAGGATTAGATCTATGTTTTGGACGTTATGATACTCATGTGCATCAGTTATCTGACAGCTTTCTTAATGAACCTGGTGATCAACCAATATGGTTAGGACAAGACTACTCTAATCCACGAGTCAAGGATTTCGCAAATGGTAAAAAAATCTTTTTTTTTTTTTTTTTTTTTTTTTAATAGAAAAAAAAGTACGATTTCAAGGTATTAATTTTTTTTTTTAAAAAAAAAATTAGTTGCAAATTGGCTCCATGAGGCTGTCGATAAAAAGAACGTTCCCCGCATGCCATGGCACGATGTTTCGATAGGAATGGTAAATTTACGTAATATAATAACTCAATATCCAAATGGGTGAAGATTTAAATTTAAATTTGACTTGAAAAATGTAAATTTTTTCTAGGTTGGACCTCCTGCGCGTGATGTCGCTAGGCATTTTGTTCAAAGATGGAATTTCATTAAAGACGAAAAGTCTTATGATAACCCGAAATTCCCATTTTTAACACCAAAAGGAGAATATGTTAATACGCGGGATGAAAGTCGATTCCGAGGCACTTGTGAAGTACAATTATTAAGAAGTAGTGCAGAGTGGAGTAGCGGAATTAAATTGGACGTGAGTGGAATGCTTGTATTAAATTCTTGAAATTTTATCAAGCGAAACTCCTATTTTATTAATTTGCCGATTTTGAATAGAATTCGATTTATAATGCTTATTGTCACTTGATTCGAGACGCAAAACATTTTATTTATATTGAAAATCAATTCTTCAGTGAGTCTTGAAGGTTATGAAATTTGCTTTATTGTCTTTGTTAATTTTACTTAACTTTTTTCTTACTCCCAATACGTATTAGTCACTTCTAGTGAAAATGATAGTAATTATGTTGTGAAAAACCGGATCGGAGAGGTATTAATTAATTATTACCAAATTTTATCTTACAAAAGTTTTTTTCAAAATTAAATATTTATAATCTTTAACCTCGTTTAGTTCATCGTCGAACGAGTAAAACGCGCTCATAAGAATAATGAAAAGTTCCGAATTATAGTTGTTATGCCTTTGTTACCTGCTTTCGAAGCTGATTTAAGTTCCAAAGATGCAGGAACAATTCGGTAAATTATTCTCTTTTCTTTTTTTAAAAAAGAAATCAATATTGGTTCATATTTATAATTTACGCGTTCCTTATTTTAGCATGGTCATGCATTGGCAATATGTTTCAATATGTCGTGGTGGTAAATCCCTTCTCGAGAAAATTTCCGCAGCAGGAATTAACCCTGAAGATTATATTTCATTTTTTGCTTTACGTGGTTACGATAAAATTCATCATGGACACGGTAATAAAGGAAAAAAAAATGGTGACGTCTCAGAGGATTCATTTTCAGATGAACGACAACGTTCATTATTTGATGGTGGTAGGATAGGAGGAGAGCCCGCCATTCCTGCTGGCATAGTGCAAATGGATGCAAGGCAACTTTATGTAACTGAGGAAGTTTATATTCATAGTAAATTAATGATTGTGGATGATAGATTCGTGATTTGTGGATCAGGTAAGATTTGGAGAAAGAGAAAAAAAATGAAAATTTTTTTGAATTTATATCAACTAACTTATACACCTATGATAGCTAATATAAATGATAGATCTCAACTTGGAAATCGTGATTCAGAAATTGCGATCGTTATCGAAGATAAGAAAAACATTACAACACGCATGAATGGAAAAGAGGTAAGGACATTTATTAAAAAAAAAAAAATTTAATTTTTAATTTTTATTTGAAAAAATTTTTTAATTTTGTTAATATTTATTAGTATCAAGCTGGAAAATTTGCGTATAAGTTACGATGTTCTATTTTCAAGGAGCATTTGGGATTATGTGAACCACAAGATCATTCATCAGTTACGAAAAGCTCTTTACCACCTATGAAACCAGAAGTTTTATTTGATTTATTACGTGGAAGGGATGAATCTATTACCGAAATAATAGATGACGACATGAATTATAAACAACTTAAAAAGAAACACCCAACGAAAGATGATTTGGTCGTTATGGATCCACTTTCTGATGAATTTTATAGATATTGGCAAACCACTGCGAGAACAAATTCCGAAACTTTTCGATCTATATTTAGATGTGTTCCTGATAAACACGGTACGTATCGCTTGAATTGGTAGTGAATATCTCATCTCGTAAATTATATTTAAAAAAATTTTTTTTTTCCCCATTCCTTTTCAGTGACGAGCTGGAAGGAGTATACTAGTTTTGTACCTGATCCAACTAAAGTCCGTACGGGACATGTTGCGAATTCGGAAATTTCTGAAGAGGAAACGCGTGAAAAATTGAGTGTCGTTCGTGGACATTTGGTTGAATTTCCTCTCGAATTTTTATCTAAAGAAAATTTAATGGGAAGCGTAATTCAGAATGCCGTTACACCCGCTGAAATCTTTACATAAATGTATACTTTATTTGTACTTTTGTAACAGTCTTATGTATTTTATTTTTTTTTATTAGCATTGCAGGTAATATAAATATAACGTGATTTTAGAATCTGCGCCATGTATTTAATAAATTATGTCATAAAATCTGATTATCACATGTTTCGGGTATTATAAACTGTAAAAAGAAAAACTAAAAAATTTAATTTATATATTTAAAAAAAATCGCTTTTTTTTTTTTTTTTTTTAAAAAAAAAAAAATCCTTTTCTTTTAATTAATTAAAATGGATCCACCAAGATATGATGGGACCATTCATCCAGATGAATGGATTAAACAAGTTAGAATATTTTGTTATTTTAAACAAATAACGGATGAACAAGAAATAGTGAAATTTTGTAAATCCATGATAAATTCAACGATAAATATTAAAAACTATTTCGAAGAAATTAACACATTTACGTCACTTTCAAATGCGTTAAGATCTCACGTAACATTTAAGATTCTTAAAGATTCATGTAAAAGAAAATTACAATCGTTAAAATTCATACCAGAGATTCATGGAGGGGATACGGCGAAATTTATCTCATACTTTAATAAGAAATGTTTTGATGCGGAAATCAACGATTTGGGAGAACAAAAGAAATTATTATTTTATAGTTTGTCTGATGATTTCCTTCGTAAAGAGTTTAATAAACGAATTCATGATGTTAAATCAAAAGAAATCCTTTTACAATCATTTAACGATATCGTAAACGAATATTCTAGATTAATAAAGTATGGTAGTTGGGTCACCATAAGACATGTTAGTACTGTAAAATATTTGGCGACTTGTAGTGAAAAGTATCTTACGGGTTCAAGAGGACAGATAGTAAGTTGTTGTTGAACCTTTTATTATTTTTTTTTATAAAAAAAAAAAAAAAAAAGAAAAATTCAAAAATTTTTGTAATTCATTTTAGATATTTGGAACGAATACATTACCTGAAACGAATGCAACATGGAAGCTTAATTATCCATTTGGACATCAAGCCAAAACAGATAAGGAACAGTTGGTACTGTATGGAGATACGATCAGTTTACAAAATCAATTTGCGGGAAATATGTTATGGGCGTATCCCAATTATAAATCTCCAACTTCTGGTCACGTAGAAGGTAATCCAAACCTTTTGCTAATTCATCAATTCTTATAATTCTTTTTTCTGGTGTAACCATTAAGAAAATTTTAATTTTTTTTTTTTTACAAAAAATATATATATGTGTGTTCCAATAGTTAGTTGTTATTCGATGAATCAATATAATAATTGGATAATTAGGCCAAGCGCTGTTAGTAAAAAGCCCAAAGAAAATGCAAAAAGATATTTAAAATCAGAAGATAAAGTTATTATTGAGAATGAGAATAATGAAAAGGTTATGATTTTACACAGTCATGATATTAAGTATACCTTGGGTAACGCCTTATATCAAGAAGTTTTTTGTCATGAAAATAGAATAAACTTGAAAGATGAGGTATGATAATGTCATTTTTTTTTTTCAGATTCAACTTTTTTTTAACTTTGCAATTTGTTTTAATGCTATTTATTTGATTTTATTGATAGTGGTGTATTGAACTTCTCGTGAATCATAAATAAAAATTAACTTTTTTGTTTTTGTTTTTGCAATTAATTAATCCTATTCAAAACTTTCAATAAGTTTCAATATGCACAAAAAGTTACAAAAGATAGAATAATGATCATTTTACAATCTTGTAAGTTGAATTGCAAAGATCAAAAAAAAAAAAAATCTTTACGACACATAAATCTTTGGTGTAATCAAATTACAACCTAATAGTAAACCAAAATTATTTACAGAACATTGTCGCTTTTTTAGGCGATCAATAATAAACAAATTATAATTAACGTGATATTTCGTTTAATACTTTTAAAAAAAGATTGCAAAGGTCAAATTGAAACGCGAATAATTTCTCCACAATGCTTAATTTACAGTACAAAAGTTTCTTCGTGATAATACCACGGAAGATTAATCTTTTTGTAAAAGAATAGTATTGGCCTTATAACTACTAATCCTGCAAGGTTAATAGCATATATGATCGTTATTATCTAATATTATAGTCTACCCCTGGTAATATAATCATGCTTAAACCACAGAATGTTAACAGAAACTAATAATCAACGTAATGAAAAATTGAAAACAAAGTTGAATACACGATATAAAGTTGAGTCCAGTTCATCGTATGCCATCTATAGATTATGGATTTGGTGCAAAGAAATAGAAAAAGTTATTTTGATAATGGATGCTAATATTTATATCTTAATGTTTTGATTATTATTGTAGGTAAAAAATATTTGGGAAAGGGTGACGATTTCAACGGGATAACGATCATCAAACATAAAGCGTTTTTTACTGACATGTAGTTATTACCGAAATCTTACGGGCCATTATCAAATTTAGATGTTTGAGAAGAATGGAATTAATTCTATTCCTAGCATCGGTTTTAGTAATTTAACAATTCAATGCGACGCTATTGTGAGAATAAATTTTTACTAACTTTTTCGGTATCTTTGATCATCCAGTTAGGCTTTTTTTTCTCACACTGCTTGCATGATATAAAAACACAATTTGAACACATTTCAATTCTTTCTAAATCCAAAATGCTTCCGATATATGATGGAAATATTCATCCAAATGAATGGTTGAAACAAGTACAAACGTACTGTTTTCTAAAAAAAATTATAAAAGATGATGAAATTCTTAAATTTGCAATAATGATGATTCATTCTACAATTAAAATTCCCGAAAAAATAACTTCTTTAGATGAACTTATTAAAGCATTAAAACAAGATGTTTCATATCCAATCTTTAAAGTACAAATGAAAAAAAAATTAAAATTATTAAAATACATTCCCGAAGCACAAGGTGGTGAAACTTCAAAATTTATTAATACATTTCGCCAATTATGCTATAATGCCGACATTAACGATATTGAGGAACAAAAGGAGTACTTTAAACAAACACTTTCATCAAATTTTTATTTATATGATGAATTTTCTAAGAGAAAAGTAAAAATTAGTTCTATAAATGAATTGATTAAAGAATTTGAGGAAATTGCTATGGAGGAATCTAATATAATTAGAAATGGATCTATTGTAGCTTTAAAACACGTTGCTACGGGAAAATATTTAAGTTCAATTAAAGGTTTAAATTATACAACTGGAAGCAAAAATCAATTGGTATGCCTTTTTATAGATTTTCTGTTATGTTAGATAAAAATTTTTATAATTATATTTTATTAATCTTAGATATTTGCAAATAATTTGCTTGATTCGAATGCTTTATGGAAAATCACATTTAGCGGTAAAGAACTATCTTCATATACCGATACTAATATATATTTACAACACAAAAAGTCTAATATCTTTCTTGGAATTTATAATGAAGTTTATAAATCTCCAGTAACTCAGCACACGGAAGGTAGTCGTTAATTTTTGTTATTTCAAAATATATTTTTTAAAAAAGGTTTAATATTGATGTATTATTTTATTTTAGTAAGTTGTAATCCAAACAACAATATTCAATGGAAGTTTGATAATAGTAAATTAGAAAATGGTCAAGGATATTTGAAATCAAATGATATTCTTAATATTAAAAATGTTAATTTGAGTAAACATTTTTTACGTAGTCATGATTTTCAATTTACTATTAAAAATGATACTTTTCAAGAAGTTGTCTGTCATAACGAAAGACTAGGTGGAAATGATGAGGTACGTACATGTTTTATTTTTCTTTTTGTAGTATATTATATTCATATAAATTAATTTATTTTTGTAACTTGTTTACAGTGGTGGTGTATTGAACTTATTGAATGATCAAGGTTTATATAGAATTACGTAATATGCGAAATTCTGTAATATAAACCAAAAGCACTTTTATTTTTTTAATCCAATATATGACAGGGTATGAATTATTAATACAAGAACAAACGTAATGTTTACTAAAAAGATTACGAAATTCTTAAATTTTCAGAAATGTGATTGATACTTCAATTATTATTCCTTGGTATATAAACTTTTTAAATAAACACATTAAACAATTTATAATTCATTTTCAAATTTTTAAAGTACGAGTAATAAAAAATTAGAATACATTTTTTGAAGTTGGCGAAACTTTTTAATTTATTTATTACGTTTATTTGTCGTGATGTTTTAATTAATGATCACGGGAACTATTGAAAAAACTTCAATCTAACTATTTATAAATGAATTTTATAAATGAATGAAAAGTACCGATTAATCAAGTGATTGAAAAAAATTTGATAGATGGATCGTTTTAAGATTTATGTTATACACAATTGATAATAAAGTCTATTTCCTATACTTGCTTCATTTGAAATATTATTAAGAAATATAATCGGAAGCAAACCTTTTCAAATTTTATGACACCAACTGCTCGATAAAAAAAAAGTTGTACGGCTTATTACATTATTGAAATCTGTTTTGTATCTGATCGTTTTTTCAGCAAGATAACGATTATAATAAAGCGTTTCTTACTGACAATGGCCATTGTTATTGGGCAATGTTGAGAAACGCCCAAATACTTAAAAAGGTTCTTGACGGAAGAGTGGGACTTTATTCCAACATTGATTCTAAATAAATTAATAAACTCCATGAATCGCCCCGTTGAGCGAACGTTTTTTAAATGATCATCCTTTTCGGTGCAACCATAATATGTTTGCGTTTTTTGTCACACACTGATATGATATAAATTGAAGTCATTTCCAAATGAATCCATTCCTAATTCCCAAAATGGACCTTCCGATATATGATGGAAATATACATCCAAATGAATGGTTGAAACAAATACAAACATACTGTTTTCTAAAAAAAATTACAAAAGATGAAGAAATCCTTAAATTTGCAATAATGATGATTGATTCTACAATTAATATTCCTGAAAAGTTAACTTCTTTGGATGAACTTATTAACGCTTTAAAACAAGATGTTTCATACCCAATCTTTAAAGTACAAATGAAAAAAAAATTAAAATTATTAAAGCACATTCCCGAAGCGCAAGGTGGTGAAACTTCAAAATTTATTAATACATTTCGCAGACTTTGCTTTGATGCTGAAATTAATAATCTACGAGAACAAAAGAAATATCTTTATGAATCGCTTTCAAATAATGATCACTATCTTAAGTCTGAATTGTATAAGAAAATGGAAAATGTCAATTCAATAAGTGAATTAATGGAAGAATTTAGGAACGTTTTTATAGATGAATCAAATTTAATTAGACATGGATCTATTATAGCTTTAAAGCACGCTGTTACAGGAAAATATTTAAGTTCAATTAAAGGTTTAAATTATACAACTGGAAGCAAAAATCAATTGGTATGCCTTTTTATAGATTTTCTGTTATGTTAGATAAAAATTTTTATAATTATATTTTATTAATCTTAGATATTTGCAAATAATTTGCTTGATTCGAATGCTTTATGGAAAATCACATTTAGCGGCAATGAACTAACTTCATACACCAATACTACTAATATATATTTAAAACACAAAAATTCCGGTTACTTTCTTGGAATTTATTATCGTTTTAAATCTCCAGTAACTCAGCACTCAGAAGGTAGTCATTAATTTTTGTTATTTCAAAATATATTTTTTAAAAATTGATATATGTATTACTTTTAATTTAGTAAGTTGTAACCCAGTCGACAGTTACCATAATACTCAATGGAAGTTTAATAATAGTAAATTAGAAAATGATCAAGGATATTTGAAATCAAATGATATTATTAATCTTAGTAATAAGAATTATAATGGTCAACAAGTGGTTTTACGTAGTCATGATTTTCAATTTACTATTGGAAATAATACTTTTCAAGAAGTTGTCTGTCATAACGAAAGATTAGGTGGTAATGATGAGGTATATACTCTTTTTATTTTGTATTTGTAATCTATTCATGTAAATTAATTTATTTTTTATAACTTGTTTACAGTGGTGTATTGAACTTATTGAATGAGCAAATTATCACATTATTCAATGGTTTATATTACGAAATTTTTTGTTCATTGTTATTCTATAAAATTTTGTCTTAGCAAGTCTTTAAATGAAATTTCATTTTTAATCGATTAATTCGTTTGATCGCTTACATTGTTATCTTTTACTTTGTAATGATGCTATTCTTCAGATAATAAAATTATTCATTAATTATTATATTTATAAGCTTTCCAAGTATGTCATCACCAAATATTGAAATATAATTCCTAAAAGAAATATTTATTATTTGCATATGAAATGATAAAATTCCATTGATTGCCATTTCTTTGTTAAAATAGAAGTTCATTTATAAAATAATACTTCTTGTCTATACTAATTAAAATTGAATAGTTTGATTAATTAAACTGGTAGCTCTTTTTTTTTCCATATTTTAAATATGCATATAATTGAGACATTAATTTTTTTCAATTAATACTTTGTAATATTAGTTTCTTTATTATATTTTCAACTTTCCCAAATCACTTTTATATTTGGTAAAAATACAAATTAAAAAGAAATAGTTTTTATTACTTCAAAAATAAGTTTTGCGAACCTTATATGCAATGAAATCACCAGTTTTTAATAGTCCAATACTCAATAAAGATCACTTAAAATTATTTACATACAGTAACTTCCATAAATATTGTGACTCTTCATTTAAAGTTAGATCATGATCATACAACTAACAATTTATCTTGAATTCATTTTTAAGATGGTATATAACTCATGCTGATAAAGTGGTAAGTGTGTATGTTAAACCGAATTCTGTCCTTATAAATGTACTCGTTCTTGAAGATAAAATTCTCAGAGAGGAAAAATGTTAAAAATTTATCGTCACTAAGAAATCGATCATTTAATTTTGCAAACGCAATAGACTCGGAACTATCTTCTGAATAACTGGCTTCCATTATACCTTTGTTAAGCTGATATAAGCCAATTAATAAGGTTTTTCTTAATATTTGGGTCACTCATTATTCAAACAGCCACCTCAGATAGCATAGGTTTCATACGAGATAATTGTGTTTAATTAAATTGCTGTGCCAGGTGATGATCGAATACTAAAAATCGTTTGATTAGTTGATTTTAAGGAAAAGCCACAGATATAATTAATTATATATAGACTTCATTTTGCTTTATACTCTATAGGATTAGGTTTCTTCTCTTCTCTTAAGACAGTTGTATTATTTGTCCTTTTTTTTTATTTAAAAATTTCGATTGTCATAAATCTTATAAATCTCTAAAGTGATCGAAATTCGCCTGAATCATAATTATCATTATCGTCATAAACTCTATACGAAATTATATGGTGCCTTCTGCCAGAAACCTACAATCACTTCTTTCTTTTATGGTTAACTTTTGAAATTAATTTTGCCATATACAATTACACAAACTATTTCATATCTGGAGAAACACTCCTCATGCCAATCCACTGAACAATTTCTACGATTTTGAAATTTGTGTTCTGTTGAGTACTCATAATATTCATACATACCTTGATCAATTAATGAACCATAAAATCATTACTTATTTAATATTTAGCATTCGATACACTTGCAACCTAAACCATTTTGACAAGACCTTAACAATACATATATTCTTACTGATCTTGAAGAAGCTTACCAAATAAGCAAAATCATAACCATATTAGTCGACGCGATTCTCAAAAAAGAACAAATATTCTGATGATAATATGACTACCAAATTCCTTGCGGTAATCCTTGAGCTTCTTCAACAATTACTGAAACAATTTACTATTGAACAAATCCGCTATCAAATCTAAAACTTGAAGAGTGCATCTTCTGAGGATAAATATTGAAACAATACGTTATTTATTTAGCTCAACAAAGTTGTATTGTTATAAGAAGCACTTCGTATTCTCAACGATCTGATACTGATAACCCAACAATAGAAAACTCTACTTCAGAGAGCATCTCTACTATTCCTACATTAATCAAGAAGCAGAATAGATAAAAAAACTAGTCCCAATAATAGAAGTATTAAATTAACTTACAAAACCTAAAAGCAAATATTTCTGTCATTCAACTTGCTCAATTTATCTTCAAAGATTCGTAGTAAACTCTCTTCGAATTTAAAGCCTCAGTTTTGTTAAATTCATGGATCAAGTATTTTCCACCTTCATTGACAATAGCCTTATATTGTGATTGAGAAACTCTTGATTATAGACACATTTACTGCTAGGAGCATTATCTGCTAATTTGGGAATTCTAGTACAACCATGATGATCATGAAAAACACTTTGTTTTCCTATCACTATACAAGTGGTTAAGCTTATATGACCATACGTGAGAAAACAAATAATTACCATTCCCATAGTATACAACCTGCTTTCTAAGGAACAACGAGACCACAAATCCAAGATCCACTTGAGAATGATATGATGAAAAGAATTATGATAATGATGATGCTGAAGAATGAACTTTATTATTCAATTCGAGCTAGCAACAGATCTTATTTCTCATTAGTCCTGGATTGTCATTTAACCGATGGTTGAAGAAATTTTTTCTATCAAGAAGTTAATGTTAGTAAATGAATGTTTTCTAAACAGAATTTTTATTTTTAGAACTACTTAATTACCAATTTCAAACCTCACCCCAAGAAAGCTAAATGTTTTGGTTTTAACCCATTATATGGGAGGTTTGCTTTTAAATCGAGTTACGTACATAATAAATCAAATGATCCGTAACGTAAAAATTTATATTCCATTGAAAAAGTCCAATATAAATGGATTTATACAATGAGCCTTATCATCAGGTTGGTTATAGGGATAAATTATCCTAGAACTACGCAGTCAATTTGACAAATTTAAGGATTTGTTCACATTGAAATTACTCAACTTGGATGGTATACATCCCTTATAAAGAAAAGGTTAGAAGGTTGTATTTAAGAATAAAACTTACTCGAACGCTCGAACAAGTAATTATCGAAAGATCTGCTAAACCAGACATTTCTGGTTATGATAATTAAAAAGCGTTAACAGAGCTTATTGGTTCACTTTGCTGAGACCTTTTTAGCAAATTAAGATGGATTTCAGAGATCGAGAGAAGACCATTTTTGTCAATTTAAAGTAATGCTATTTAGACTTTGTAATACTCCAACTACCTTATAAAGGTTAATGGATCACATATGTTTAGTTTATCTCAACATTTTTTACTAGGCTCAGCTGGATTAAAACTTAAGCATAATAAAATTTTCTTCTTTACTCAAGAACTCATAAACTACTAATATTATTGTTGATCACATAAACTGTCTAAATAGCACACGTTATATAAATCTTAAAAGTTTTTTATACATGGAGAAAATAATTTTTTATTTATTTTTTTTTTATATATTGTAAAACATTTATATAATTTATTTTATATTGGAAATGTACATGATGCTAGAGTATTTATTATCTTTCATCCCTTTATCATGAAATTTCTTTTAATCCTGAACAGGTTAAACTTTATTGCTGAAGCAGCATATCCTTTCCGAATATATTTAATAAAAACATTTCCTGATTATTATATGTTAACCCATAGAGAACGACATTTAATAAAATTCTTTCTTCAATGCAGATGGTTATTGAATGTGCATCGGACATTTAAAGATAACGCTGATGAATTCTATTTATTTATTGAATCGATATTGAACGAATTACTAAAATAATACATGCATGTTGTATTTTACATAATTTCTTAATTTCTATATTGATATGAGTGATTTTTTTATTTTTAGAAGATATTATGGATAGAGAAATAGAAGATGATACAGATATTGGATATGACGTAGAAAATTATAGAAGAGAAGAAATAATAGGCACTCAAAAAAGAGATATTTGGCTAATCTTTTAATATATCACTCTATGTTAAAATTTCTCTAAACTGCTTAAAGATATCTATCCATCTGTCTTTGCTGAACCTCAGAAGTACGAGTGCACTGATCTCAGAAATAATTTTAGTTTGTTCATTAATAAAATCCTGAAATTCTTTCATATTTGCTTTCCTTCTTTAGATCATATACATGTTTTTTTTTATTTTACTTTTTTCTATATAATATATAAATATAATAAATAATTTACTCATCATCCTGATTTTCAGTAATTCCATAAATTGAATTACTAGTAACAGGTGCTGTAACACTTGGATCTTCTTTTAAATATTTATTATATCATTAAAAAATTCCTAATCATTTGAATAGCTTCTTCACTAGTATTTGCAAATTTTATCTTTATATCACGATATTTTGAAGAAGTGAAACCCACTTTTGTTGAATTGATATATTCGTATATTCTTTTAAAACTAAACTTGCTATATTATATTAAAATTAATTTTATCTGAGTTTATTATTTGTTAAAATTGTATATGATAAAACCAGCAGAAACTGACAGACCTGTTAAATATGACATATATGCCAAATATGCCATATCTGCCAAATAGGACACAAATATCATTTATTCTATCTTTATTATATCTATCATTATCATTATTTATAACATATTTAACATAATTAGCATATCTGTTAGCTCTGTTATTATTATCAGTAGTATCATAAATACCATAGATTTCCTTTAAATGTAATTTTCTTATATAAAGGACATGAAAATGCCTTGAAAAAAGGACAGATTTCAACATTGTATTCAATATACATTTAATAACAATAATAAACAATCTTAACATTTTGCAAACATAAAACTTATAATTTTATTCTTTATTTTGTAAAGCTTGTGCTATATCTCAATCACTATTTAATCAAATTAAGTTATTAAGTAGAACCTATAGTAGTCCAACCACAGATATTACTCACTATACCATTATATTATATTATATTATTACAATTAAATGCAGTTTCTAGTTAAAATCTTTATAATTCCTCTTGAAAATCACTCTTAATAATTACAGTTAGTCTCTTTGATGATCATTTGTCAGGTTATCATAATATCAGAATGTTATAATGCCAGTTTGTCAAAATGTCAGTTTGTCAAGGTGCCAGTATGATAAATGATCAAAATGCCAGAATGAATTAATTAAAAATCTTTTATAAATACGAGTCAGAAATCCTAAAACAGCTCAATATTTCATGCTCACTTTTAGCATATTTCTTTAAAAAACATTTTTTTCACTATCTTCCTTTTACACCTTCATGATAATTTCGATTTTCACCCTTTTAATTTTATAATTTCATATTTTGTAACACCAGTTTATTATTTTATTTTTAATTTCTGATTTTATTAATAGTTCATTATATAATTTTTATGTAATAGTTTCGTAATTGCGTAGTTAGAATTTATTACTTAATATTTATATAGTTTAATATATTGAAAAAGTGAAAATATAAAGTGCTGATGTTGAGGCAATACTGATTAATTTGACTATATTAAATAAATTCTTGTAATAATTACTTTATTCTTATTTAACAATTATCCAATAAAACCTTCTGCTTACATTACAAATTATGAGCCCGGTTCATTTCACTGATAAATGATTTACTGACTATTATTTTACTGATAAACACTTCACCGACAGGATCATTTCACTGACAACCATTTCACTGACGATTATTTCACCAACATAATCATTTCGCTGACAAACGTTTTACTGTCTGTATTATTTCATCAATACGATCATTTTGTTAACAGTTTATTTATTTATTTATTTATTTATTTTTTTATTAAATATTATATTATAAATGAATCATTAATAGAAAAATAAAATAAATAAAACTTCACATTTAAAAGTTTATAATAATCAAAAAAAAGGAATTTTCTAATTCAACGGTCATATGTTATTTATAGTCATTTTACATTTTTTATCAATGTTACATATTAATTTAGATGGGCAATTAATAAATAAATAAAAATATTTTAGAATAAAATAATCAAATTTAATGAAAAATATAAATTATAGCATTTATTGTAATTTTTTAACTTATAAAATATATATGTTTTTTGGAATGTCAGTGAAATGATTGTTAGTAAAATGTTTATCAGCAAAATGAACATGTTGGCAAAATGATTATGTCAGTGAAATAATCATCAGTGAAACGTTTTTCAGTGAAATGATTCTGTCTGTGAAGTGTTTGTCAGTAAAATAATAATAAATAATTTATTGGTGAAATGAATACGATCCACAAATTATTTATAAATACATAAATGAAAGAACTGAATACAAAAATATTATATTATTTTATTTTTTACAATAAAAATGAAAAAAACGTGCCGCTAAGAAGTAATTAAAGATTTCTTTTAAATATTTTTTTTTATTATTTTTTTCTTTTAAAAAAACTTTTGATGAAGGATAATTAAAGCGAAACTATTTAATAAAAACTTAATTTTATATATAATTTATTTATCTATTAAAAAATTTTTATAAATATATATTTGCAATAATATATATATATAAAAGACATAAAGGACCTGAAGAAGAAATTCACTCATAAAAAATCATTATTTTATAACAAAGTGGTTAAACAATTCTTATATTATAATATCAAC